AATCTCATAAAAAAGACCTTATCTCAGTGTCGTTTATCAATCATATTTTACTTTTGCGATGAAACTGAACGTTTTTTACGTTTACAGTCAGCAGTGACACCCATCAGGACCCTCATTCATTCTAATCTGATAACAGAAGATATTACGTTACGTCGTATCAGTAACATTCCCGTTATTTTTTAGTATATGGATATGATAGTTCCATTGATTAGTTCTAATTATATTGTAGGACCGTCTGTGTAGATTTGCTAAAATGAGCGTTCGAGGAGGAAAGCCTGCCTATTCATATGAAAACTTAAAGCAGGCTATGGATGCTGTTAATGCCAAGCAGATGTCTGCACGCAAAGCTGCCGTCGCGTTCGGTATACCCAAAAGTACTCTTCATGACAAACTCTCCAATAAAGTACCTCTTGTTTACCGCAAAGGTCCTTCACCAATTTTATCACAGGACAAGGAAAGACATCTTTCAGATTGGGCTATACACATGTCAAGTATAGGGTAAGGCCAGACAAGGGACGAACTGTTAGACAAGGTCCAGAAAATAATCAAATTAGATGGTAGGGAGAATCCTTTTACTGATGACAGACCTGGTAGGGATTGGTTTAGGGCTTTCTTAAAACGAAACCCTACAATATCAATAAGAACACCCACACAACTTTCAAAACAACGTGCTATGGTATCACAACAAAAAATTGCTGATTGGTTTGATACCTTCACAACCTACATCGCTGACAAAACTGTTTCAGACATCTTACATGACCCATCAAGGCTGTATAATGGTGATGAGTCGGGTTTCCCCATGTGTCCAAAGAGTGGTAGGGTTCTGGCCGAACGAGGATCCAAAACAGTTTATAACTTCTCGGCCTCAGACAAGAGCCAGATAACAGTTCTTGCTTGCGCAAGTGCTTCAGGTGACTACACTCCCCCCATGATCATCTTTCCCGGTTCAAATACAACCCCCTAGATGGTTTTGAGCAGGCGGTTCTAGGGCGAACCGAGAATGGCTGGATGGACGCAGAACTTTTTGTTTCTTGGCTTAAAACTTGTTTCATTCCTCATGTCGATAAACAGGCAATCAAGAAACCAATAATTCTGTTTCTAGACGGTCATTCAACGCACCTGACCCTTGAAGCGTGCACTGTTTGTGTGGAGAACAACATCGTCCTGTACTGTCTCTCATCACACGCATCACATGTTATCCAGACATTGGACCTGAGCTTGTTCAGTCCCCTCAAACATGCATGGTGCCAATCTGTCCGAGATTTTCAGATTTCAAACATCGGCGAATGTGTTAGGAAATGTACCTTTGCCAGTGTATTCAAAACTGCATGGGTAAGGGCAGCTACAACAGAAAATGCAAAGAGTGGTTTCCTCAAATCGGGGCTGTTTCCGCTCAATCCTGGTAAAGTTACCGATAATCAGAAATTCAAACCCAGCACCATCTTTGATACATGCAAACCAGTCCTTCAGTCAACCCCTGTAACCCCATCCACAGTCAGAACATTAACATTTGCACCCCCAGCAGACACCCCATCCCAACCTTCCGCTACACTAACATCACCAGAATATGCATCCTCACCAGTTGTACAAACAACTCTGCCATGACCCCATACAGACCCTCATGCACCAGTACAATCACAAACTGCACATAGCACAACACCCCAAACAGACACTTCATACCTCGTCTTACATTCTACATCAGCCACAGCCCACACATCTTCCAGTGACGCATTTGACAAATATTTAGTTCTCCCTAAAGTACGGAGCCGTACCCAAAAATGTAAACCTACAGTGTTGCCCAAATCTGCCTCAGGAGAAGACATCAGGGAACTTCTCCTTGAAAAGAAGAGAAAGGCAGAGGAAGAGAAACAGATGAAAGAAAGCAGAAAGCGAATGAGAGAGGAAATGAAGCTTAAACGAGAAGAGAAAGCAGCCCGGAAAGCCCTAAGAGAAAAAGAACGGGAAGAGAAGCGTGAGCGAAGATGTCTCTGAATCCGAGATTCCCTACATGGATGAGGACGAATACGACGACACTGATTTTTCCGATAATACCCTCCGGGATTTTTGTCACCTTTGTTTAGGTCAGGATTTGGCGGCAAATGATGACTGGGTGGGATGTCTTAATTGTACCAAATGGTTCCACAAGAATTGCCTGGGATACCAGACATTAACACACAAACAACTTGCCGACCTACCCTTCATGTGTGACACTTGTAGCTGAGAGAAAAAAAAACGTTTCCCTCATATGCAATGTGAATGTTATTGTTGGCACAGTTTGCTTTTTTAAAAGAAGTGAACTCAGTGTTCATTTCACATTAAAATGTACAAAACAAACACATTTTTCATATTTTATCAGAAAAATGGAATATCCCTTTGACGCCCTTTTCCAAAAGATTCATGCATACTCTGGACCACCAGGGTGGGGTATAGACACCAATGCTGTCAGCTATCACCATAGCACGAAACCCATCGCAATATTTTCGTAAATTACTGGGTAATATTAAACCTGAAACTATATTCATTTGATTTACTGGTTTATTTCTATGAGTATAAGTTTTTGGGAAATATATGACAACTATCAAGTACCAGATTAATGATAGACTTTGCACCTAATTAACAAGGGAAGATTATTCAGCGAATGTTGTCACTTGTTATATTATATTTTCTTTCTTCATAGGTACCATGTGTATCATGTGAAGCCGTTACCATTTATGGCACTGAGGATGAATCAGGAACCAGAAAACATCTATGACGTAAACGCTCTCAAAATTAGTATTCCCGATGAAGCTGACATACATTTCCGTAGTTTAGATCTGGAAGTCCGGCCCCCACCCAATAGACAGGTTTTACGGGACATAGCTGGCCGTGTCGTCGGCAGAGTTCCCTTACAGTTGTCAGGAGTACCCACTCCTTTGATGACGGAAGGTTGCGTTTTAAATGTGACACCGTTCTTTACTGGTAGAATTACACACAGCGGGCCTGTTAGGGACGGGGGCCCAAAACTAGACTGTTTTTGTTTATTGCGTATCAAGCCACAACGTCGTATTTTATTCAAAATAATAGAAAAACTGAATGAAACAGAATTCGATGGTGACAGCGTTTGGGTTTAGTGACTGAGAAGAAAACTAATGTCAGTATACGAAAACACATGTATCTGTGTACAGTGATACCAAAATGAGAGAGATAGGACAATTAAGTTGCATTTATGTTGCTATTGTTTTGATGTTCTCATTGACACAATGAAAAAAACACAATTGTAATTATGTTATATTCGGTTAAGACATTTTTAAAAAAATCTTAAAGTGTCCAGGTACTGCCGCAAGGGTGTCCGACTTCAACCGCAGGCGTCCGATTACTACCGAAGTAGTCGTCGAGTAAATATCCTGAGAATTTTCTGAAACAAGCGCACGAACACGACCACTACCGAGTATAATCACCACAGCAGTTACCTCCCTTCACATATACGATGAAAGAAAGTCAATAGGTACTTTGGTTCAACTTGCATTAAGTTTCCGAGTACTGCCCCACCCGCTCTAGTTGCTTCTCAGATAGTTACTCTTTGGTCCTGTTTGAAAATATTACAACACAAAATCTTTGATTGTGTCCATGCAACAGTAAGGAGATATTTTTTCTGTGACCTTTTTAATTGTTTTGTACCTTCAAACTTGAATGCATGAGATAGTAACAAAATGACATCTGAGTGACACTTCTTGCTTGGCAAGACATTATCACAATAACACTGACAAGATTTGTTGTATTGGGATTGTTATTAGAATCGCTTTGTTAGTATGTTGTTTAATGCTGCACTCTGCAATATTCCATAAATGAATTTGTTGAACCTGTGCATTTCATAACCCGAACATTGATTCAACCAGTAAATCCAATTTTTTAGAAGAATTGACATCTACAGGTGTACTGTTCAGATGCTGTGCAGAAATAAATATCTTACAATATTATTATGACAGTCAAACTCTACAAACTTTACCCCATGTTATGGGTTTCCGGATGCTTTAGAAACATTCATAGCTTTCTCTCTGATCACATGAACAACTGTAAAACATCTCAATCACTTATGAAAGACAATGATCTCTTAAAAACAAGCCATCATCTGAGTATTTACAATGTCTGTGTGATGCTACACACACACTGTTATAGTGCGAGTAATTGCGATTAACATGACTGTCAGAAAACATCAGATGTCCGAAAACCTATGATTCAATGATCTATGAACGATATTAGCGTCTTTTCACTAGCCTCAGTGTGTGCATAAAACGGGGGGGAAATGCACCACCAGTTTAATGGGGAGGCAAGATTGTTTAATAACATTTCGACTTGCATTCGCCATGACATCTGCTTATAAAGCTTGTTACGGGAGATCTGCAACCCACAGATAAGGATTTTTTGAGAACTGACTATTTTACTATTTAGTGATACTGATAGTGATGTTATCTGCACGAAAATTAAGGTTACTCTTGGTTAGTTTCCCCGGGTCAACTGTCAACCCCATATCACACCACATTCACTGGCGTCTGCTTTTTAAGTCCCACAAAAGGGTGTCAATCAAGAACCGACTGTAAAAATAAATAAACATAATTATGATCCTATATGATCTAACTGAAACACAAGCCATAAATACGCTCAGGCATGTGAAGATGAATGGTAAAATCGTGATCCCCACTGTACAACTCATGACCCATACGTATTTTTCAAAAGTATCTTCTGGCATTCAATCGCACAAGTTTCTGATAGACACCCAAAAGAACATACATAAGTCAATTTAGATAAAACGTGTATCTAAATCGTTCGAATTTGCCGTAAGGTGCAACATTGTTCGTCGTCCAGAACATACTGACGGCTATATAAGATCACAAATGTATAGGTTTTCATAAAGTTTGACATTAATATAACGGTAAGAACAGAGTAACGATACTTTGAGGGAGCTGGGTCGGTCAAAATACAAATATGGAAACAAAAGCAACTTTAAATAACTTCAATATCACCTCTCTCGACTCGTCTCTTTCGGAAGCCATGTTGTAATACAGTCACATGGTACTACCGGCATACGAAAACGAGGCTCTCACACTTTTGCTGAAAAAAGAATAGACACAAATTCTAATTGTCAGAATTCTCGCAACTACATTTTAGTCAGTACATAGACTGTAAGGAAGATGAACTTCCCACGTCAATTTATCATTTAATCAGTTAAAAGTGAAGAAATGAGGCACGCTGTAAGAAAAGATCGGGGGGGGGGGGGGGGGGGGGGGCACAGCAGAGTTGTCTCCCTTTGACCACGGACCTAAAACGTACCGAAATTGCACTGAAGCCAAACTGCCCAAGGACTCGAGATCATTATCTTATATCAATAAATGAATTTCTTATCACATTAATTCTATATCATAATATAAATTACTTTCAAACTGTAGGCCTATACTGGTTTTTAGAAAGAGAAACAGGCCCAAATAAGAATTTGATTGTTATTGGTGACAAAAAATTCGATTTTGCGACTACACTAATACATTTTTATGTCTTAACATCGAATATGTAACATCTATAAATATATCTGATCACACTCGTGTATTTATTATACAAAGAATTGATTTACACCCGTATACCCAAAAGTATATATTTTCGGTCTTTACCTTTATTCCACACCCAACGTGAAAGTTGCTTTGGTTGATCAGTTTGCGTTGCTCTGAGGGGTTTTCCAATATTTTATATTTAAAGGGGCACTGATCTAACGCAATTCCCCGGGACTGGTTGTTGCCTTTGTTCTTGTTTTTTCCCAGGGAGTACCCGGATGTATAGCAGAAATCTAGACTAGTTCGCGACCTCTGTTGCGCCATTCGTAAGCGCATTAGTCACTTTTATGGGTAGTAATAAGGGCGTATGGTCACATTGATCAACAAAATGAAACACAGTTTTCGAGATAATAAGGAAATGTAGGTATCTCTGTGGGTAGAATCGGTAATGGTGACGAAGTTTTGATAAGTCACTTGCTTGGTAATTTTGCGATTTTCGTTTACACTATTTTGACTTGCAACACAAAGTAAATATTTCACCTGAGCATTGCTTTTATATAGTGTGTTACACGTATCTCTGTAACAATCAAATATTTTAAAAGATATATATCGTTTCGGGATATTATAACCCGTATTCGTTTGTCAACTGATCACTTGGATTGTTTCAGGTGTTTCACATAGGTGTCAAGTCTCAAAGGTCGGCTGAGAATGCCCACGTGACAACTATTTTCATAACGTCCATGGTTCCTAAAAACTCCATTGAGTGATAGATAACAATGATCAATCAATCAACGTATTATCAGTTAACCCTTTGAACAAAGTATGTTGTTTTTACATCGGCACTTCACGCCATGATATGAGTGTATTCCCTTTGTTTTAGTAAACCTAGACATGTCAACACTCCCTTTTGACATATCCACTGTGCAAGATAACAGTGATTAATCAATCAACGTATTTTCTGTTAATCCTTTGATGACTAGGAACGATCCGTGGATTTATAAAAAAAAGTAAATCAACTGATAATTCACCTCTTGCTGGTCAGCCACGTGCATATTACATAACACACATTTCACCTCACTTCAAACCTGGATTTAGAATGAATAATTACCCCAGACACAATAAATGCCAAATAGGAACCTTTGTCAGGTAATCTAAGTGGTGTTACCACTAATTGTACCTGTAATAAATTCATTAACTGAGCATCAAGTGAATGACGACAAATACACAAGTGTAGGGTTATACGAGAAAACGTGGATGACAACAAGGGAGTAATAATCGTATTATCGACGCAATCCGAAATCCGAAAATGCTTTCACTGCATGGATACTTATTTTAGTATTAAACTATAACCATCTGGGGTATTTCACAATGACGACATCCGATGAGCTCCGCCGTTCTTTTTGTCTGTTTGTTTAGGCTGAAGAAATTAATTAACATGCGCCCTTTGTCGAAATCCTTATAAATTTTAGATCACAGTTAACCAATCAGTGTTTATGCAAAAATGCGTAAAAAAAATATTGCCTCCAGCCTCCAAGTTTATTTAGCTGTCCTTGCAGACGGTAGCCCAGTCTCTGGTCACGCTCAGTTGCATTGCGTATCATCCGGGTACTCACGGGAAAAAAACAATAACAAAGGCAACCACCAGTCCGGGGAATTGCGTTAGATCAGTGCCCCTTTAAAGGTGCACTAATCTCAGGCTTCTTCTCGGCTGTCTGACACTGCCCGCTAGAACGGCAAGCCGTTTTCACATTTATTACGGAATTACTGATATCTTCAATTGTTTTAAAGATATCTTGTATTGAATTGAAGATGTCTTAAATAGAATCGAAGATATCTTAAATACAGATAATTGTAGATATCTGCAATAAGATTTAAGATATCACGAAATGAATTAAGGATGTGGTGAAGCTTATTACTGATATCTTGAAAAAATGGCTGATATCTTAAATTTGATTAATGATATCAAAATATGATTTAAAGATATCAAAAGTCATATTTAGTTATGATATCAGTAATTCAATTCCTGGTATCTTGTAACTAAATACAGATTTCAATAATTAATTATTGATATTTTCAATTGTTGCCATTATTAAAGACTTCAACTTATTTATAGATATCTTCAAATACTTCCGTCTGTTAAGTAATGTCGGTAAGGTTTCTAACCATGGCGGGCAATGCTGACAATTCTCAACAGGTTCTTGATCGTATACATTCCACAATGGGTGACGTACAACGTTTGTTGACTGAAATTGCCAATTTTTCGTCCGCTAAACAACGTCTTCAGACTGCTTTATCTTATTTACATCGTATATCGCCTTCAATTGATAATACCAAGTATTTATCGGTTAGACAGCCAATCCAGCAGTTGCTAACTTTTTGAGAGAGGTCAGAGGTCGAGAATCCTCTCTCGAGTGCATCCACCAACAATCAAAGAATTCGTGTCCAGTCGGGTAAGTACCATGTATGTTCTATACGAGTGTGGAGCCATTGTACACAAGGGTATTGCGAAATTGCGAGTTGCGAGTCGTGTTTTGTTTTATACTATTCCCAATTTTTGAGTTCATGTTTAGAGTAGATGCCTCGTTTGCTATGCCATTGGGCGCCGGGTATCGGACTATAATATCCATCGTAAGTAAGTCTCGCTAAAATTCTTATGTGCATACGTGAAAGTGTTGATTTACTTTTTCAGGAATGAGTGAATGAAGTACACATGACACCAGCACCGATGTAGTACGAGCACACCACGAACTTCCTATGAATATAACCCGAGTTTAGTACGATGTCACTACTAAATCATACCGATATTGGCACTATATAGGCCACTTCGGCCTGGTCTTGGCTCTGTGTGGGTGTGGCTGTGAGTGATCTCTCAGAACTGGGACTGGGGGGTTTGGGCTGGTCCTTGGCCTGGTCCTGGCTCTGTGTGGATGACGGTGACCACTCACTCCCCTCCTCCACCTTCCTGGGATTCCTCCTCAGCCGCTGTCTTGTCCCTAGCCTACTCCAGCCTTCCTTCGAGGTGGCATACTGATATTAAAACACGGAAAACCTGAAACTTGCTTCAGCTCTGGAAACGCACTGGAGTCTTCTGAAACTCGCTGTAAAACTGACAGTGGATTAAACTCCCCGTAATCTGATTGTTGACGACACAACAACAACAACAACAACAACAACAATACATTTGGAGATTTAACGTGCGCTTTCCGCGTGTGGAAATGTAAAACGATACATCTCGCGTACTTCGCACATGGGATTGTTGGCGAGGGATGCGACCTGTATTTATACCCGTGATGATCTTGCGTCACCCGTGCGTCCCCATGTAAAAATATTGTAGCGCACTCGCAATAAGCTCGTATTCAACACTTAGAACATCGTAACTACCTCGTACTATGAACGTGTCCAGCTCGTATAAACATCGCATCATACTCATGGCAAAAAAAAACAACGTGTTGTGCTCCTATAAATCGTACTTAGACTGTGTCACAGATACTGCACGATGTCATTCCGAGTGTAGTACGATATACACTCGCTAACTATACGAACAATACCGAGCATAACACGCGTATAAAACATGCAGGACTCGATGTAAAACGAGTACTGGAGGTATTTGGAACATATCCGAAATATCTCCGACAACGTGAACCAATCACGATCACTCACGATGTATCACGAGCACATAAGGAGCTAAGTACGAGTACACCACGAGCGAATCGCGATGTATAACGATCTTTCACGCGAGTTAACACCGTCATGTATCACGGCCAACATCACCAAGTCCGGGCAAGACGAAAGTTGGGATAGCCTATGACATAGGCCGCAGTATACAGGGCACCATGCTCCAAATGTGTAATAGAGTCGAACTTTAGCCTCGTTTGAGATTAAACGCAAGCAGTTATGCATGTATTAAGTTTTGTTTGATGTGATATGAAAGTTTAATCATGTCAATTTTCAATGACAAGAACACAATACTTCATATATTTCCTAGATGATGAATGGGTATCTACGTTCTGATGGGGGTCTCTGCCCAACGCAGCAAAGTCCGACAGTTGACCCAACTGGTACACGGCGGGGGAGGACAGTAGCTGGGCGTACTTATTCTGTTACAACCCCAAACAGTTTATGGCACATGGATTCTCATATGAAACTGAACAGGTGCGTCTACTTTGCGTTGACATCGTGCCTTTTCGTTCTGGTTGTTTCTAGTTACTTATTATCCTTCACCACATGTAAGTAGTTATATCAATATGTAGTCTTTGAGTTAATACATTACACTTATGATATAAACTTGTTTTGGAATATACATTTCAGATGGTCACTGGTGACCCATGGATGCATAGATGTCCTTTCTTGGTTCATAACAGCACTGATAACAATAAGGCTGATGATGTGTTGAGAATATTTGTTCAAACCTCAGATAATTATGGTCTTCAAGCGAGGGTTAGGAGCGATCATGGAATCGAACACATCAAAGTCGCATACAGGATACCAAGGAGCACGTCACATTACTAGGAGATCTGTTCACAATCAGAGAATAGAGCGACTCTGGCGTGACGCTCATAAAGAGGTGACT